AGCGATAGATTGAAGAGAAGAGCAACAGTCAGTGTTACACTAGGAGCTCTTCAGACTGCCAGGGAAAACTCAATGTGTGGGAGGGGGGGCTGTTAAATGAATGAAAATCATGATTGGTGGTGGCTTACAATGGGGTCAAAGGTGCTTATCAAGTGCTCAGAGTGGGGGCCATTCCAACCCAGTAGCGGGGGGAATTGATGGGGGGGAATTCTATGGAATTGGGTTAAAGGGAAAGGGGCCGTTAAATGAATGAAAACCATAATTGGTGGCAGTTCACATTGGGATCAAAGCTGCTTATCAAGTGCTCAGAGTGTGTGCCATCCTAGCCGAGTAGTGGGGGGAATTTACGGGAGAATTCTGGGGAATTTGGTCAAATTCAATTGGGTCCCCACTTGTACACGGGAGTCATGAGTGGACGTTCTGAGGATTCGACCGCACCATTAACTGATGCACGGTTTTGAACTGCGCAAATTGTGCATGCATAGAGGGGAATTTAATTTCTCTGGCCCGGGAGAACACTGGAGGTCCCAGTGATGTTTTTTTTTTAGGAAGTCCCCTACAACTCCCCAGTATCGGCAGAAAATTTGCATCCCAACCGTGGTTGACTGATGCAAGGTTCTGGACTGGGCAAATTCTGCAAATTCTGCTTGCACGGGGGGGAATTTAATTTCCCTGGCCCACGAGAACACCGGAGGTCCCAGTGATGGTACAGCCGATTTCTCAGGAAGTCACCCTACAACTCCCTGGTATCAGCAGAAGATTTGCATCCCAACCATGGTTGACTGATGCACGGTTCTGGACTGGGCAAATTCTGCAAATTCTGCTTGCACGGGGGGGAATTTAATTTCCCTGGCCTGCGAGAACACTGGAGGTCCCAGTGATGGTACAACCGATTTTGTAGGAAGTCACCCTACCACTCCCGGTATCGGCAGAAAATTCGCATCCCAACCGTGGTTGACTGATGCATGGTTCTGAACTGGGCAAATTCTGCATGCACGGAGACACATTTAATTTCCCTGGCCCGCAAGCACACTGGAGGTCCCAGTAATGGTGCTGTCGAGTCCTCAGGGTGCCCTCTCATGACTCCCGTGTGCAAGCGGGGGCAACTCCTACAAAGTTCTGACCCGATCAAATTTGACCACATTCCGCCGAATTGCCCCTGTAAATTCCCCCCACTCCTGGGCTGGGAGGGCACACACTCTAAGCACTTGATAAGCACCTTTGATCCCAATGTGAACTGCCACCAATTATGGTTTTCATTCATTTAACGGCCCCCCCTCCCTTTGACCCAATTCCATAGAATCCCCCCTGTCAATTCCCCCCACTACTGGGTTGGAACGGCACACACTCTGAGCACTTAATAAGCACCTTTGACCCCATTGTAAGCCACCACCAATCATGATTTTCATTCATTTAACAGCCCCCCCTCCCACACATTGAGTTTTCCCTGGCAGTCTGAAGAGCTCCTAGTGTAACACTGACTGTTGCTCTTCTCTTCAATCTATCGCTTCACAGAGCACCCACAGTTGACTTGAACAACCTCTGTCTTCTCTGGGGCTCCATTCTGCTTGCACCATCCCTTGTGCCACTCCAGGGTACACACAGTTCTAAAACCACACAAGCTAGCGAAACAGTTCATGTCATTCTCCTCTCTTCCACCTTCTACCCTCCTTTCCTTATGTAATTCTTCAATTCAACATGTCAGTGTTAAGCCAGGTTTCAAGTTTTTCACCAGTATTTTCAGCCAAAAAACTAGTGAATTTGTGGTGGAAAACTTGAAATGAAGGTTTCAAATTTTTCGCTGGAAAACTTAAATTCAGCTTTCAAGTTTTTCACCTCAATTCTAGGCGAAAAATGTCTGAAAACTGTTTTGACTTCTTCACCTATATTTCCCCTGCAAAAGGTGGTGAAAAAAATCCTGAAAAAAGTGAAACCAGGTTTCAAGTTTTCCACCACCTTTCTTTGAATATTTTTCAACCATTTTTCATGGATTTTCCCACTGAAAATTGTGGTAAAAAAAGTTTTGAATTTTTCACCATCATTTATGGCTCCAAATCTGGGTGAATTTGAGCTGAAAAGTTGGTATAAAACCTTATGAATTTTGTTTCAAGTTTTTCACCTTAAATTTCACTTGAAATAGTGGTGAAAAATGTTTGAATTTTTCAGCTACTTTTCCAGTGAAAAATGTCTGAAAAACTACTGGAATTTATGGTGAAAATTTAGCATGAACTCTTATGAATTTTGTTTCAAGTTTTTCACCTTGAATTTCACTGAGAATTGTGGTGAAAAATGTTTAAATTTTTCACCCTTTTTTTCGCTGAAAAATGTCTGAAAACCCAACGACATTTTTCACCGTAAATTGTGCTGAAAAATTTGAATCTCCCAACCAGTGACGAGTCTTCCTTTGCTTACCTTTGGGGTTCAATATCCCACACCATTTTTGAGCCAGGAAAGAAAATGAAGTGCCGGTGCTCGACTTCCCGGAATCGAACCGGGGTTCCTGCTTACAAACCTTACACCAAAGAACACAAAGGTGAGGCAGGTGTGGATCACCGCTATGAGTCTTGACTTTCCCTACTTTCGGGCTGAATATCCCACACCACTTTTGAGTCATGTAAAAACAAAGAAAAGGGTGGAAATTGTTGATGACTCGACCCGGAATCGAACCGGGTTCCCGCTTGCAAACATTGCAAACATTGCAAATTGATCAAATTAATGTGACACAGGTGTGGACCACCGCTACAAATCTTCCTTTGCTTACCTTTGGGCAAGGGGACGTCGGGATTAAGATTCCACCACAAAATAAAGTATGCAATGGAAATCGACTTTTATGACTGGACCTGGAATCGAACCGGTTCCCGCCTGCAAGTTTCCTTTGTCATTGGACGCAGGTGCGGACCACCGCTACAAGTCTTTCCTTGCTTACCTTCACACCCCTTCAAACCAGGTACATTTTGGACTTTCTTTGCACCAAAAAAAAGACATCTGCCTCGACTTCAATAACTCAACCCGGAATCAAACTGGGTTCCTGCTTACAAACCTTTCATACTAAGCGACACAGGTGAGGCAGGTGCAGACCACCGCTACAAGTCTTCTGTTCTTTACCTTTGTGGGTCTTAATGTACTGGACAACCTTTGCACCACAAAATAAAAAATGCAACGGAAAGAGAGTTTTATGACTTGACCGGGAATCGAACCGTGTTCCTGCTTGCAAACCTTTCATACCAAGCGACAAAGGTGCGGCAGGTGCAGGCCACCGCTACGAGTCTTTCCTTTCCCCACTTTGTGGCTCAATATACCAGGGCATCTTTAAGCCAGGAAAGAAAAGGATGTGATAGCCCCATTAATACTCGACCCGGAATCAAACCGGGTTCCTGCTTGCAAACTTTTTCACGCTCACAAGCAATTTAAGGCAGGTTCGGACCACCGCTACGAGTCTTGACTTTCCCTACTTTTGGGCTGAATATCCGGGACAACCTTTGCACTGGAGGAAAAAGGGAATGGGTACATTAGGCATAATTTTTTTTAAAAAAATTTAGGAAAATGAAGGCGGAAAAAACTGTTTACGATGTGCCTCAAGACTCGAGCCGGAGTCGAGCCGACAATATCTGCATTCAAATCCGCCTTTTTCCCACATCCAGCAGACGTGGACCACTCCGCTTTCGAGTCTTTCCTATACATACTGTATGAAGTTCAACTACAAGCTCGGCACTTCGGCGCTGCTGACTGGTGTCCAACATTCAACTTCAGCTCGATTATTGTATGCCGTCCTCTTCTCTACACCCCCAACTCACCTCTGTCAACTTCCCACCACCCGGGCCTGCAACAAATTCAGTGAATTCAAAACTACTGAGCATACCTACCAGGATCACTAAGATGACGAAAAAAAAGCCAACATGTACCCTCCACGACTCGAGCCGGAATCGAACCGGTTCCCGCTTATATTGTAAGACTGGCTTTTCATTGGAGGCAGGTGCGGACCACCGCTAAAAGTCTTCTTTCACTGGCCTTTGATGCTCAATATACTGGACAACCTTTGCACCACAAAACAAAAAATGCATGGAGATGGACTTTTATGACTTGACCCGGAATTGAACCGGTTCCCGCTTGCACTTGGGAGTGGATCAAATTAATGTGACATAGGTGCAGACCACCGCTACCGCTACGAGTCTTTCTTTCCTTACCTTTGGGGCTGGATATTCTGGACAACCTCTGCACTGCAGGGAAAAGCCATGGACCAAAAAGCACAACCAATAATCACTGACTTGACCCGGAATCGAACCGTGTTCCTGCTTGCAAACCTTTCATACTAAGCGACACAGGTGAGGCAGGGGCGGACCACCGCTATGAGTCTTTCCTTTCCTTGTGTCACATCCCTTTAAATCAAATTAGCCCCATTTTTGACTCCCTTTGCACTGCTGGAAAAAAGGCTTTGATTGTCAGCGGACAACAAGGACTCGACCCGGAATCGAACCGGTTCCCGCTTGCATACATTCTTGGAACCCTCATTTGGTGCAGGGCGGACCACCGCTACGAAGCTTTTCTTCCCCTACTTTTGTGGCTTATTATCCCACACCACTTTTGAACCAAAAAAGACAATGATGTGATCACCCCGTTAAGACTTGCCCCGGTTCCTGTATGATCCATTGGACGGAGTGCCAGTGTGGGCCACCGCTGTGAGTCTTTCCTTCCTCCCATTCACAGTCTACCAGATCAGTGACATTTAGACTTTTTTCAAGCTGCAGGAAAAAAAGCTGCTGGGTCGTCAATTTCCATGACTCGACCGGAATCGAACCGGTTCCCGCTTGCAAACTGGGGAGTATTTATTGGAGGCAGATGCGGACCACCACTACAAGTCTTCCTTTGCTTTCCTTTGGCACTGGATATACTGCACAACCTTTGCACTGCAGGAAAAAGGGATGGGTGCATTAGGCATAAGTAAATGTTTCTTATTTTATTTGGGAGGATGAGGGCGAAAAAAACAGTCTGCAACGTCTCTAGGACTCGAGCCGGAGTCGAACCGATGATATCTGCGTTCAAATGCATTGTCTTTCCCTCACATCAAGCAGACACGGACCACTCCGCTTTCGAGTCTTTTCCTACATACTGTAAACTTGTTCAAGTTCAACCACAAACTCAGCCTAACTCAGCACTTGGCGCGGCATTCAATGTTCACCTTGAACTCAACTTGATTATTATTCCTTCCCATTCCCGTCCTCTACACACCCAACTCCAACAAATTCAACAAATTCAACACAACTGAGCAGACCTTGAAGGAAAAATCGCCAAGAAGAAGAAGAAGAAGGAGAAAAAGGATTGGAACGCTAACCACGGACGACTCGCCCCGGAATCGAACCGGTTCCTGCTTGCGAAGTTCGATTCTTGGCTATTGGAGGCAGGTGCACACCACTGCTACGGGTCTTTCCTTTTGCTTACCTTCGTACCCATTCAAACCAGGTACATTTTGGATTTCCTTTGCACCAAAGAAAAAGACATCTAACAAATGACTCGACCCGTCTTACGTCGGCAGAGATGGCTCATCAGGAAAAACCAAAATGCTCTCATAGACAAAGGGGTAACTATAACGGTCTTCATGTGTCTATGACGAACTTCAAAGTTAACCCCGTTCTATGTGGCGCTATACAGGTCTATAGATGTCTATGGATCTCCTTCTCCCAGGACTAATGTCTATGAACGTCTCTAAATCTGCCCGCTGAAAAATTAAAGCAACGGAAATTCAACGTAAAATAGAGGAGCCTGCGTTCCTAAACACAATAATAACGGGACTGAATGACCGACCTCCGGCGTGAGAGGTGGAGAAAGAAGTTTGGGTGATACTAAATTGAGGGAATAGTACAACACTGGTGAGCAACTCGCTGTCCAGGAGGACCAGTGTGAAAGATTATGGGGGTGTTGGAAGAAGGACAACCCACTGTCATTGAGGAATGTTGTTGAGGAATGTTGCAACTAATACAATGGCCTTGAGCTAGCCGAAGTACTCTCCCACATGTGCATTTTATGTCACTGAGAGTGGCGGGACACGTAAAATGCTGCTTTGAAATATGTTACAGCCGATTTCTAGTTACTGCGTAGGAATGCGGATGCGGAGCGCGGTGGGCGGTAAACTTCGAGTAAATAATTAATAAAATTTGCCACGCAACTGTCACGGAATTTGAATAATTGAATTCATCCCTGAGTCCGGGGCTGAAATGAATGCAATGTCGGAATTTTATTCTCCCCTTCTCCAGGTAAGTGGGTAAGTGGAAGGAATTGCGCCCGCGACTTGACGAAAGTGCCGTAATGTCACGTGCGCGCGTTTTGGTTCGTTTTGATCGGTGACAAACAAGTCGTCTCCCTTTCTCTTTCATGTACACCAGCGACAGCAGCGAGACTCTCGTCGCATCTGTTGTCTGCTCTTGCCTCTCGTCTGATTGCTTTGTCGTCGCCACAGATGTATCGAGCAGAACAGGAAGGAAGAATTGGAGAGGACGAGGTGCGACTTTGGAGTGGAACTTTTTTTCTTTCTTCTGGGTGGATTCTTTACTTGGAATAGTGTGTGTACGTGGGCTGGGCGAGGACACGGATGGGATTCGCGGTAGTTCATGCCGTGTATCCCACGCCGCTTCCTCCTTTGGGGCGCACTTGATACGGCGGTGCCATTCGCGTTTCGTGATGTGGGTTGCTGCCACATGTCACGAATGCGAGCGATGCCCGTCAGCTGGCATCCCACCCACCCTGCACCGTAGTTGCCTGTTGTCGCGCCGAATTTGGGTGGTTCCGGGGCGAACGGAATGTTGCGCCGTGCTCCACCCCCCCCCTCTTATACCTGCAATGACTCGGAGGACTTCCTTCTTGAGGGCTTATCTGTTCCATTCCCCTCCTCCACGGCTGATACCCAATGACTTGCACACCCGCTTTCTTTCTTGTGCATCCCCAAATTTCCCCCATCTCCTCGTATCCTTTTTCATCCCTTCTTCGTGTCTTTTTACGACTTCTTTGTACTAACTGCAACCCTCTAGCCCGATAATGGTTTATAGTATACAGACATCCACATCACGTCCGATTTCCTCGGCATTTTTCGGAATGGGCTCTGCCTAGTCGCCGCATTTAGCCCGTATTCCTCGTGTCGCGCAGGCATCACGTACACATTAACGCGCGCTCCAGCCGCCTTAGCTTGCCCACGAGCTGACCCACGACCATTCCCCTCACGGTGCGCGCGCCTTCGGCCTCCGCCTGGTTGTCTACTGGTATCCCACCCGCCAAGTCACAGTCAAATTCACCCTCGCAAGTTACCAACAGCCGCGTGCTCAACCGGTCACTTTTGGCTCCTTTAACCAAGATTCATCTGAACTTCAATCGCCTTCAAACCCACATCGGCAATTCTTGTTAAGTCTGCAACGAGACCTGAGCTTCAACTCTCACCTTCAACTTCAACCGTCTTCAACACTTGTAAATGAATAAATCCTCGTCAAGTCAAGTCCGCAACGCGTCGAGCGAGACCTGAACTTCAACCCCCAACTTCAACTGCCTTCAAGACTCCGCAAATTACCAAATACACGTCGAGTCCGCGGCAAATTGAATCAGACCCCCCAACCCTCAGCCTCACCTCCAAGCTCCGCAAACATCTTTGTCCAGTCCGTGGCGGCATCTCAATGATCTTCGACTTCGCATTGTTGTCCCCTCATCGAAATTCTTGTGCCCCTTTTCACTCAAATTTGATTCGAAGACTTTCTTTTTCATTCTCATCCATGGCATGCTGTACCTCGTAGAAATTGTACTTGGATTCTGGAATAGATGTGTTTTTTGTTTCATTTTGGCGCGATTTTTTCCTCGCTATGAACGACTATAATGTCTATCAAGTCTATGACTATGGCCAATTCTATAGACGGACCGACTACTATGAGTGACTTTGAGTGTCTATAAAGTTGAACATGGTCCCCCCACCTTACTAGTGGGGTGGCCTATTTACTATGAGGTCTATAATGTCTATAGCTGTCTATAGCGGTCTTTGTGGGTCTATACGGCAACTTTGGATTTTCCTGATGCTCCTCATCATAATCCCCAATATCGCCGCTCTCTTGGCCTGGCTCTGTATCATTCCCGGTTATATTGCTATACTGTACTTGAGCACTTCCCTATCCTAACACCTCACCCCCAAGTCCTCGCATGCCCTCTTCTTCCTTTCCCCACTCACCGCCGGCGCCCTGCCCGCCCTCTACACTCTCGCGGTGTCGTACTGGGTCGCCTGGGACCGCGGTGCCGAACTTGGAGCACTGTTCGGCGCACTCTCGATATGGGTCTCGTGGGGCGAATTCATGTCGGTCAGTCCATCAGTATTTTTTCCGCGACGCAGATGAACATGTATTAGTGATTTATTTCTTTTCGCGCACTGAGTACTCCACGTTCAATTGGGCTACATCAACTGAGGCCTCCAATGGTCGTCTTTTTTCCTGATCGTATCGTCGCTTTTCCTCGTTCCCGATGGCCCTCCACCCAGGGCCGGCGCGCTTGTGGTGGATCAAACCGATGACACTGTTGTCTGAATGTTCAGTACTCTTCGAGTGATAATCGGTTTTAGATGCGCGGATCAAATAATGACCAGGCAATAAGATTTTGATGTATTTAAACTTGAGGTCTTTGACCTCCAAAATCCATCATCGTATCAAGAGAGTTCTACTTGCAAATGTATAAAAACCAATACTGAGCCAGCCTACTTCATCTCCCACAAACCCACGTCCGAACCGCGCGAAAAGCCTCGAACCATCGGTAGACACTCCAACATCCATATGCCGGAACAAGGACCTCCCACTTGAGGTTGTGTGACGCTCTGTATTCAAAGATTCGTGCTTCCGTCGAGTGGAAGAACAGGTTGCCCCGCGGCAAATATTGGACGTGCGTAATCTCCAAAAATCCTCCTCAAAGGAATCTCCTGTATCAATCTGCCACATCTGCTCGCACTCGCCCGACTCGACGTCAAAAACGCGGAGCGTTCCCTCGCCCGCGTCGGCAACGAGATGGCGATTATCAGGCAAAAAGGCGAGGGCATGGATCTAGCGGGGGAATCCACCGAGCGTATGCAGCAGCCCGCCCGTGTCAACGCGCCAGATGCGCATCAGCCTGCCCCCATCATCCGCCGCGATGAGTTTCCCGTCAGGCGAGAACGCCCCCGCCCAGCTTTGGCCCGTTGCACCGTCGAGAACGTGGCCGGCGCGGTGATGCCGTGCGCGGGGCCGAGGCCGAGGCATACAGTCGCAGTCGCAGTCGCCGTCGCAAATAGAACGAGAAGGGAACTTGAAGAAAGGAAAGAGAAGCCGGCCCAGCAGGCCCCACACCGCACTCCGACGACCAACAAAGGCGCGAAGGACAAAGCAGAAAGCAGCACAAAGGGCGCACGCGTCGTTAAAAGGCGCTGCGGGCACCCTCTTCCACCAGCACGCTCCCCTCCCTACGACAGAAAAAAAAGAAGAATGACAAGTCCAGACGAAAAACGAAGAAGGGCGAAGAAGTAAAAGGGTGCAGGAGAGAGACACCTACGCGACGTATATCGTGCCCTCTTAAGCCGGCTCCGCCCCCATGGCATCGTCGTTCTGCGCCCCATCCGCGTCGACGTCGATGACCTCGCGATGTCTCGCTGATGTGGGGGGCACCGAGCTCGATGTATGTGCATGTGCGGAGGCAGAGGGAGAGACGGACGGAGCGAGTGAAGAGAGGGAGGAGAGGCTGCTGCTGGATGCGGAGGCGGAGGCGGAGTGGAGGTGCGGGTGGGAGACGCCGAGGGAGGCGAGCGAGGAGGGGGTGAGGGTCGTCGTTGTCGTCGTCGCACCAGTTGTATTTGCGGTCGAAGTAGAAGTAGGAGGGGGAGGGGGAGGGGGATTTGCGGAGGTCGAGGCGTGTGCGGTATTCGAGTTGGAGTGGGTGGGGACGGTAGGCGATGGCGGGCCCCCGCCTGCGGCCCATTCAATGACGTAGACAAGGCCGGGCTGGATGACCTTGACGTTGCGGCGCGTGAGGTGCGCAAAGGCGCTCAGCTCCATGTGCCCGCCGTACGTCGCTGCAGGGGCTCGTTAGCTCTTATTTTGAGAACGTGGGGTCGA